CAGAGTCATGCGACACGTCCGCGCTGCAGGTCTGGTCCCCTGTTGGGGGCGTGCGAGAGGCAACCACCTGATGTTTCTCTCCCCTTTTTTTAACTGGAAGCAAGACAAGGATATCCATTGTTAACATTTTAATTGAACATGATATTGCAAGTCCTGGCCACAGCAATTAAACAAGAAGAAAAAAGGCATCTGAGTTGGAGAGGAAGAAGTAAAATAGTCATTATTTGTGGATGACAGGACACTATACAAAGAGAACCTTCAAGATTCCACCAGAAAACTATTAGAATAATAAATGAATTCAGTGAAGTAGCAGGATACAAAATATTCAGAAACTGGTCGCCAATAATGAACTATCAAAAAGAAAAACTAATAATCCCGTTTATAATTGCATCAAAAAGAATACCTAGGAATAAACTTAACCAAGGAGGGAAATGACCTGTGCTCTGAAACTGTAAGAAGAAAGAAATTGAAGAAGATACAAATAAATGGAAGGATATACCATGGCTCAAGGATTGGAAGAATTAACATTATTAACAATATCCATACTAACCAAAGCAATCTACAGATTTAATGTGATAGCTATCAAAATACCAATGGCATTTTTTCACAAAACTAAAACAAATAATCTAAAAATGTGTGTGGAACCTGCCAAAGCAATCGTGGGAAAGTTGGACACAGTTGGAGGTATCATGCTAGTTGATACCAAACTATACTACGAGGCTATAGTAATCAGAACAACAATGCGGACATAAAAACAGGCATACATCACTGGGACTGAGCAGGAAACCCAGAAACAAATCCAGGCCCATATGGTCCATTAATCCGGGACAGAGGCAGCAAGAATATACAATGGGATAAAGACAGTCTCTTCAATAAATGGTGGTAGGGAAACTGTAAGGTAGATGCCAAAAAAAAAAAGAGGGAAGGAAGGAAGGAATAAGACCACTTTCTTACACCACCTACAAGAATAAATTCAAAATGCATTAACTACTTAAATGACCTGAAACCATAAAACCTCCTAGAAGAAAACATAAGCAGTAAACACTTTGAATTGCTCCAGGCAATTTTTTCTTTTGGATATTTCTCCTTGCTCAAGGGAACAACAACAAAAAAGCAAATGGGACTTCATCAAACTAAAGAGATTTGACACAGTGAAGAGAAACCATCAACAAAATGAAAAGACAAGCCACTGAATGGGAGAAAGATTTTTGGCAAGGATACATCCTATAGGTTTAATATCCAAAATTTATAAGGAACTCCTACAACTTAACACTATAAAAAACAATCCAATTTAAAAAATGGGCAGAGGACCTGAACAGACATTTCTCCCAAGAGGACATACAAATGGCCAATAGACATGAAAAGAGGCTCAACATCACTAACCATCAGGGAAATACAAATTAAAACCACAATGAGGTATCATCAGTAAATCAACAAACATTAAGTGTTGTCGAGGATTTGGAGAAAAGGGAACCCTTGTGCAGTGTTGATAGGATTGTATACTGGTATAGCCACTATGGAAAACATTATGGAGGTACCTCAGAAAATTAAAACTAGAACTACTATATGACCCAGAAATTCCACTTCTGGGTATTTATGCAAAGAAACCCAAAACACTAATTCAAAAAGAAATGTATATACCTCTATGCTTATTGAGACAGTATTTACAATAGCCAAGGTATGGTAGCAATTTAAGGGCCCTTCAAAGGACAAATAGAGAAAGATGTGGTACGTATATACAATGGAATATTAACTTAGCTATTAAGAATAATGAAATCTCGCCATTTGCGACAATATGAATGGACCTTGTGTAGGTTATTATGCTAAGTGAACTAAGTCAGACAAAGACAAATACCACAAGATTTCACTTATATGTGGAATTTCAAAAACAAAATAAACACACACACAGAGAACAAACTCACTGTTACCAGATGGGAGAAGGGTTGGGAGAATGGGTGAAGTGGTAAAGGGACTGAAGTGAACAAATTTCCAGTTATAAAACTAGTCAGCATAGGGAATATAGTCAGTCATATTGTAATAATCATGTATGGTTTCAACTGAGTACTAGACTTATCAGGGTGATCACTCCATAAGTTATGCAGACATCTAATCACTATGTTGTACTCCTGAAACTAATATAATATTGTAAGCCAATTGTAATTGGAAAATGAAAACAAATTTAAAAAGACTAATTCAGAACCAAATAAGGGGATGTTACTGAGACTCAGAGAATTTATGATGCACAAAGTTGTGAAGTTATGAAGGCCATAAAAAAAGAAAGGACTAAAAGTCTTCTCGTCAGAAATGAGGAATTTCTGACCATTAAGGTTGAAAAGCATGGATTTTTAAAGACCCTTTTAGTTCTGTTTAATGACTTTGACTAGGAACACGTGGTGCCGAGAGAGAAGGACAGAAGAGAACAAGTGAAGGTGCTTTCTGCAGGGTGGGCGATTGGCTGGCTAGGTGGGTGGGGGGCAGACAGGCTAATTAAGCTACGTGAGTTTCTCCTTAGGGGTACTGTTGATTTGGCCCACCCTGGAGCACAGGCGAAAAGTGGGAGTGGAGGCTAGGAGAAAAGTAATGAACAGATTTCTTTAAGTTCAGAGGCGGGCGGGCGGGCAGGGGGTGGGGGTGGGGTGTGTGTGTGTGTGTGTGTGTGTGTGTGTGTTTAGGGACTAAAGATTATAAAGACCATGAAGAATTATTTTGAAAAGGAGAAGCAGGTAAGTAGAAAGTTGATTGGAGAATTTCAGAATTTAAGATTATGGAGGTAGAATTCTGAGGGTTGGGTCTGGAAAACACGTTTATCTTTCAAAATACAGATGGAAACATACCTCTTGTGGCTTGAAAACCTCTATTTCAGGGTGTAAAAGTCTTTACTCTTAAGGAACAAACATGGCTCATCACAAACTGGCCCCATCCTACTTTTCCAGGGAAATATGGCCTCATTTCTTTGTGTGAACCCCATATGCTAACCACACTCCGTGTACGGAATCCTGGAGACTTTCACCTACTTTGCCTTTGCACATGCTGTTCCCTTTGCATGAAATGGTGTTCCTCCCTTTCGCTGCCTTGCAAATTCCTGCCCATCTTCAAGACCTAACTCAGGTGGCACTTTTCCTGCCAACTCTTTGCAGACTCCTGCAAAAAACAGCACGTTTTTCCTCTTTGTTCCCACAGTACTCTCTTTAGATAACCCGTGGAATTTTTCCACAAGTATATTGATTTATATGTCTCTGTATTCAATAGATCGTGAACTCCTTGAAGTCAGAACATATCTGAGACTCTTCTTTACCTACAGGGCAAGCACATAATATTAGGTGCTTAATACTTGCTTTTGTTGTCTTTGCTGTTGAATTTTAAGCCAGTGAGTTATTCTGGTGTTTTTCAAACATGAATGTGCATTCGAATCACCTGGAGATCTTGTTAAAATTTAGATTCTTATTTAATCTGAGATTCTGCTTTTCTAAACAAGCTCCTGGGTGATGCCAGTGCTGCTGGGTTATGGAACTCATCCAGTGTGCCTTTGCCAAGTAAATAGGGGAAGTATAGGAAAGATGAAGTCCAGTAGGAACATGGAAGTGGAGCAGTTATGGGGAAGGAGGCATGACAGATCCTCAGTATGATCACTGGGGTCTTAAAAACAATAGCAGGAAGTCATGTGGGGAGAGGTGCTTAAATCACGAAATACGGCAGGTGGGCCAAGTGGAGGGCGGTAGTTGGAAGTCTGGAGTGATACCGTTGTGTGACTTCCATTTTAGGAAAGGAGAGGCTGCACGCTGGGACAGCAGCAGAGGATGCTCCCCACGGAGAGGGCTGGGCAGGAGAGGCTGTGTCAGAGGTCGGGTTAGAGGCTTCCGGCATTTGTTCCCAGGAGAACAGCATTTCCACCTGTGCAGACAGGAGAGTGAGGAAAAGGGGGAGGCTGCATTCTAGGGAGGGGAAGGGAGCCCCCAAAGAAATGGAAGGTACTAGAATTTGACAGAGGGTCATTTCCTGGTCTGAAGTTTCCAGGTTCAAAATATGAAAATTCTTTTTTTAAGCCCATAAATGACAGAAAAAGTAGCACTAGTAAGCATTCTGTTCTCACGTGCAGTCTCACCGGCCTGCTGATGCTAAGGACAGGTTCAGTCAGCCTGATTTCTTTGAAGTACTAATTTCACAGAAGGTGCAGTAAGTACCAGTGTGCTGTTTAGCAAGGGGGGAAAGGCAAAAATAAATGCTTACACCTCCTCCCACCAACGCCCCACCCCCACAGTGAGTGAACACTTACAGCCTGATGCGTGCTTCCAGCTCCGATCCACGCGGATTCATGTGCACAGAGACAGGGATCTGTCCAATTTCATAACGGTGTTTTTGCATCACGTTATTCTGCAGATCGCTTTCTCTCCTAGGAACATGTCAGAAACATCCCTCCAGGTCAGTGGACAGAGCTCTAACTTCCTTTTTTCCCTAGTCATTGTTAGATAGCTGTGTATATATAGATGTCCTGCCATTCTCCCATTGACAGAAAATTGGGTAATTTCCACTTTTTGCTACTACAAACGTATAACACACAAAGAAAGTCCTGTTGTCACCAGTTCTGTTGTCGATAACGGAACTCTGTGATATCAGCCTGCCATGCACATCACAAGTAACTTTTACATCAAGGACATTTCTAAATGAAGCACAGCAAGTGGCTAGGCCTATGCTGTCCAGTATAGTAGCCACTCGTCACGTGTAGCTATTTAAATTTAAATTTGCTAAAATTAAATCAAATTACAAATTCACTTAGTCACAACAGCCTCATTTCACGTGCTCAGCAGCCACATGTCGGCAGTGGCTGCCACGTTAGACACGACAGAACAGAACAGACCATGTCCAGCCTCTCCGAAAATGCCCCTGGACAGTCTGGACCAGACGATGGTGCAGCCTAAAGAAGATCTCCAGTGGGCTAGTGTTGAAACGAGAGCACATTTTAAAAAGTACAAACTCTGTGTTTTAATTGGTTGCCTCTGCAGTTACTTCAATGAGAATCAATACCCAGATGAAGCAAAGAGAGAAGAAATTGCGAATGCTTGCAATGCAGTCATACAGAAGCCCGGTAAGGCGGCGGGCACCCTGCGCTCTGCGGGCAGCTCTGGGCTTCAGGCACCTCGCTGGAACTGTCTCTTACCCCCAGGTGCTCTCGGCTGTATCTGTGCCAGCCTCCGGGGAGAGTCACCTCCCAGGGACGTGCGGGGGGTCACCAAACTGAACGTTCATGTGGCAAAGTTTCCAGGGAATGTCCCTGAATCAGATTTGAAACTTTGGCATTTTTTTAAAGACTGGATTTCCCCCCCAGAATTTAACATCAATATGTCAATTCCAAAATAATTTTAAATACTTAAGCAGGGTTTGTTAATTAAAAGATTGAGGTAGACTTTTTAAAATAATTGTAAATTGTATAATTCTGTCTTCCTGTTTGAAGAAAGAATTCTTTTCAGAGCTGGCATCTGTCTCCCTCCCACACCGGGACAGGTTCTGCTTAGGGAGGAGAACCCAGGACGATGCCAGTCCGGAGTCCTGCTGTTCTCACACAGATCAGCAGAGCCACTTAAACACACGTGTCTTTTCCTCCGTGTGCTTGGATATTCCACATTCTACAGCTTTTGTTACCAGAAACCATTTTCAGTTAAAGTGACCCAGTTGATCTTTATTAGCTGGTTAATCTGACTGGCTTAACAGGCCGTCAGTGAAAGTACAAATGCTTTGTAGTAATTCAGTAGGAATCTCCTTCCCTTAGTCAGAAGCCAGATGCTACCAGTGCAGAGCCCGCACACTCAGCCCCCACAGACTGAAACCCTCATCTCACACGAGCACGAGTCCTGCACTGAAGCTGTAGGAACTCAGACTTCTAGAAAACCCGCCGCCCCTGGTTCTGGTGTCTCCACCCGCCGTGGGGTGAAAGCTGAACAGAAGAGGGCGGGCCGGGGGTGGGTTGTGCAGGCCGGTCTTTGTCGGCAAGCACCGTGCCAGGCGTAAGAAGTCGCACATGACAGCAAAGAGGATGATGAATCTAAAACGCCTGCTTCGTTTTAGCACCGTTACAACAGTGGACAGTTAGAATAACTAACTGTTAGCCTCCAAGAAAACACGAGGGCTGTCCTCCGTTATAGGACATTAGGAAACTAAGTTAATACAAGGTCTCGAAGGTGTAAGTAAACTTCAGCTATCTGGAAACTTGTTAAAGAATAACATGTTCATCCAGAACGGTGCTAGTTAAACGAAGCCTCTGTGCTGCCATGTGAACTTCAAACCTAACAGACTGACTTGGTGGAATCTAAAGATTGCATTTAATATTGGAATTTAAATCGTGTAACTTTCTGAATTCAAGGATTTTATGTTACAAGTTGTTGTGTATTTATTAAGTAATAACTTCAGTCTAAACATTGCACTAGGTAATGCAAAAAAAACCCAAAAAGCCCCTGTATCTGTTATTCCAGCAGTAAATGCAATCAAAAGAACTTTTTAAAAAGTATTATTCCTTAAAACTAGTCTCAGATATATATGATCTGAATTTTACTGTATGCATTTACAGGCAAAAAACTGTCAGATCTGGAACGAGTTACCTCCCTGAAAGTTTATAACTGGTTTGCTAACAGGCGGAAGGAGATCAAGAGGAGAGCCAATATCGGTAATGTATCCGAGAGGCTGCTGTCTCTGCCCACGCAGCCGCCCACCTGGCGTGTATTGTAAGAGTGACTTCAGTTTACAACTGTGGGTCTCAGTTATTCTAAATTCTAAGCCTAATAAGAATTGCCCTCGTGATTTTCTTCATTGTATTTTTAATAACCCAAAGATAGTCTTACTTAAACTATCTGTTATAAAAATAATGGCATTTTTATTTTTGAAACTCGATGTTTTTAGTGTCCTAGAATCTAGAGTTAGGCATGGTCTAAGCAGTGACCCTGTGGTGCACATTAAAGACACTTACAAGAGAGGTTATATGATACCCTAAGCTTCTTTGTTATTCCTGGGCTATGTATGACTCAGTATTTAGAAACATCTTAATATTGTTAGGATTAGAATGATTGTTAGAATAAGAGAATCGTAGTAGAAAGGGAGCATAGCAAAAGCCAGAGATTTGTTTTAAAAATAAGAGTGAAGGCATTTAAGAAATGTGAATGGATGAGGTTGGAGTGGGGGGTTGGTTTTGAGCTTCTAAATCTGCATGCCATGTATAAACGTACTTCCGTCTTCATCGTCACAAATCTCGAACGCTTTGTAGAAGGAACCCCAGGACAGGAGGTCTGTGTGGCTGGTAGGTAAGTATTTACAAAGCACCTCACAGGTGACCCCTCGGGTGTCGCGCTTGCAGCAGCAGGGGCCGGGACTGAGCGGCAGGCGTGCTGCTCGCTGTTCCGCGTGCAGCGGTGCCTTCCCCTGCAGTGCGAAGGAAGCAAAGCACAGGGAAATCTAGGTTCTTGTTGAGTGACACCTTTATTTCTCAACACAGAAATTAATCCAGTAGTTAGCCCATTGTGATGAAGTAACAGATAATTTAGGGATCCATTTGCTTTTTTCGAAGAAGCAGCAATCCTGGAGAGTCATGGGATAGACGTGCAGAGTCCAGGAGGCCACTCAAACAGCGATGACGTCGACGGGAACGACTATTCAGAGCAGGTGAGCAGCCGGGCGGAGTTCTTGGCTACGGGCGGGCGGGGCCGTGGGACAGCTCGGTTCCGCGGGTGCACTCGGGGTGGGGTGGGGGAGAGGAGACGTTCTGACGTCCCTCCACTGTTCTCGTGTGTCTACTTGGAGTTTCGTGTGATTAGGGAGGAATGTGGTAAGATACGGTTGTCCTGTTGAATTTGCGAGCAGTCGTTGTTCACCCACACGGATTTATTGTCATACAACAGGATACTTGGCAAGTACGCAATGGGGAGGAGGAGGAGGGAAGAAGTTCAGAGGGAGGCAGAGAAGCAGAGAAGGTAGAAGAAGAGAGGAGGATCTGATCCAAACAAGCAAGTTACACCACTCACCACACACACTCACTGTCTGAGAAACACTAGGGGCGCTGGGCAGTGGACCCCACGCCTCAGCGTGCGCCAGCGCGCACACAGTGGAAGGCCCCTGCCGCGGGCCCCCGGTGCTGACATGAGCGGTTCTTCCGGAGTCTCCGGCACTTGACACACACGTCCTCTCATGCGTGCATGTCTTCTCACCTCCCCCCGCATAGTCTCGTTGTTCCGGGTGGGGATGTATTTAATCGTAGCCACTGGATGGGAAGATGCATAGTAACTAAGATTCGGGGGGCGGGGGGTGTGCCCCTCCCCACCCACATATCTTAGGCAGATTTCATTAAAATTTGTATAGGATTTAAAATTAATATCCATTTGGAATATGGTCTCTTCTCCTGGACCCCAGAAAGGAAACTTTCCTATGGTGACACCCCATTCCTTGCTCCTCAGCCAGCCCTTAAATGCAGTCCACTCTCTTCCCTCCTGCTGCCCACTTTGCAGCCCCGCTGCCCAGTGTGAGCGCAGACAGCACAGGAGGCCCACGGCCCCAGTCCCTGCAGGCAAGAAGGAGACCGTGTGCCCACACATCCCACAGGCTGCCTTTTTCTCTTTCAGGCTCCAGATCATAGCTCCACATAGCTCACTCAAGACAGTGTTCTGGGCGTCTTTCTAATTGGAAACACTTCTGTTATTTTCAACCTACCCACGTAAAGGGGTCATTTCCACTGTTTCCCCAGATGCCCCAAAGGCAGCACTTCCCACGTTCTCTCTCTCTCTCACTCACACACATACACACACTCTTACCCCTTCCAATGCTTTCTGATTCGGAGTCTCCCGAGGAAGTGACAGGTGAGAAAGTTACCCCTCGTGTGTAGCACCGTCTTCAGGGCCCGAGGAACATCCCGCGAGGCCAGCTTCCTTCCCGGCGTTGTTCTGCGCCTCCGCTGTGTGTGGGAGGAGCGCCTCGCCCTCCCTCTGGAGGGGAAGCTGCCGCACCCCTGGCAGGGCCGCCTCACTGCCCCGAGTGCGCCCGGTTTCTCCTACCGCTGTTTCGGCAGTCGCTCTGTTACCCTGTTGTAATTGAGAGGTTTTTTGTTCTGTTTTTTTTTTTAAACAAAAGTGCATTTTTATCCATACGATATTGGCGTCTGCCTAGCATTTTGTCTAGTTCTCTCAGTTCAGTGGAGACACCTTGGAGTGTGATCACCTGTTTGTAAGAGCACCGATGCAGAACTGAATAGCCCACAAGTGTGGCCTTCATGGACTTGTGCTCTATTTTTTGCAAAACTAGAATGAGCTAGGTGGGATTATCATCACCAGCAATCTTTCCGAAAGAAAGAATAACATTCTCAGAAAGAAAAAACATCTTGATGCTGCTTACTGGTTGAATCAAGACTGTCAGCCAGAAGCATCTGGACGTACATCCATCCAGTGTCTCCTTAAATACATCTCACTCCCACTCTGTCACGGGCTCCTCCCCCGCCCCCCCCCCCCCACGTTCTGCCTCCCTCGCCCCAGCATGCCTTTCCCGGAGCCAGAGAACGGCGCCGGTCACTAACGTTTGTCTCTTGTCTCTGCACGTCTAGGATGACAACACTAGCCATAGTGACCACCAGGACCCCATCTCATTAGCTGTGGAAATGGCAGCAGTCAACCACACTATCTTGGCCTTGGCCCGACAAGGAGCCAACGAAATCAAGACAGAGGCCCTGGATGATGACTGATCAGGGAGGGTGGACACGAGGCGTTACCTTAGTTTAGACGTAGCACCTTAGCAGACTTTCCTCGGTCCTTAACATGTGTTCTTACAGTATAACTTGCAGTCTCTTGTATGTCAGTTAGCCGTTAGGGTCTTCTTGTTCCGTGAAGATGGCATGGTGCCCTCAGCCTTCGCATATACTCTCAGTATTAACTCCCAGTAAGTAATAAGCAACCGACCGACCAGACTTCCTCTCCCAGCCCCCGAGGCTAGAAAATCTTGCTGCTCTGTCTTAGCATTCCAAGAAAGTGCTTCCAGGTATTTAGATAGCCCTCAGTTCTCAAATATCAGGCCGTGTGTGAAACCTTGGGTACCTTCAGATTCCTGTAACACTAGTCTGTGCCCCTTTCCTTCCTCAAGACTGACAGGGCGCAAGCTGAAGGGGTGTGGCCCAGGACCGACAGACCCCATCTGGGCAGTGTCCGCGGAGTAGAGGGAACACTAGCGGCCCACCTCCGAGTGGGGCACCGGGTTTGCAGCTGCAATAAGCCGTGCCTCGTCATAGTCACGCTGTGGCTAGATCACACTTCTCTGGGTGCTGTGCTAAGAGTGTCCGTGGAAAGACCGAGTCTCAGATTTTGGTTGGAGTTAACATGCCTGACACAGACATCCATTCCTCTCACAAGCTGTGCGGCTTAGTAGATAAAATACTGCCTTCTGCCTTTGGGACCACAATTAAACAGCAAAAGACACAACTAGAAGTTACTTAAAAACACACCCCGGCTTGAGAGGCAGTGGAGGAAGCCAGCCGCGCGGGTGAAGGCACCGAGTCCAGCTCGCGGAGCCGCTGCCCGCCAGGGAAGGTGCCGCAGGGCCTCCCACAAGTTGCTTTGCCTCCTGTCCGTGTCCCCTGTCCCTGCCGCCAACAAAAGTCTGTCAAGGATGGAGCTGAGGTAAAAAATGAGTGAAAGAACTTTCGGTCTTTGTACCCATTAACTGAAGGCCCCTCAGTAGCCGAGGTTGGTGGGGGACTTTCTAGTGGGATTTTGCCGACTGACTATCACAAATGCAAATACTTCCGCAGTAGGAGCCGGAAAAAAGGGCATTTGCCACTTACGTGGTGGGTCTGTGAGATGTGACGGGATGTGACTGCTCTGGTGTGCTTTTTACTCTGTCCTTGTAGAGGTGTGGAAAGCTATATTGCTACAGGCAATTTATTTAATAATTGGAAGCCATATTGATAATGGATGTGGTAATATTTGTAAAGTTTAATCTACTTTAAGCAGCAGTGACTAATGTAATTTTTTTCCTTGATCACATATGTAGCACTTTTGTTACTTTTTTAGAGATATTTATATTTGATAAATCTTTTTTTCATTTTGAGAACTCAAAATACCAAACAGTGAACTTGCGTTATAAAGTCACCCTGTGATCACCTTGTCATCCAGCAGCAAAATGATGAACTGTTCATGCATCAAAGAAAATTACATCTGCCGGCCTTGTATGAAAACGATCTCTCAGCATCTCGATTAAATGACACCCTGTCGCTGTGGGTAAGGGAAGCAGCCCCCCTCCCCCCGCGTCAGCCTAGGGTGTGTCCGGAACAGCAGGACTGCTGCGTGGTTTCCGCCTGTCTGTGCGCGTGGGAGCCTTGTTGAGAGGGGACTCCGGGGCTGGCTGTTACGCAGCTTCTGTCTTCTCGTGTGTAATTACCTGAAGGTTTCTAAGATAGATGGAAGGTGCCATTTCCTGGCCTTCCTCCCCTTGAAATGTATTCAACTTAACACCTTTGAGAGAGGGTGAAACTTACTGACCTTCCTCACTTTTCTTTCCTCCTTGTTAGTGAGACAGTTTTCCACTGGCACAGGCCAACGGGGCCGGCTCCGCGGCTGCCCCTCCTGCTGCATCGGCGTGTGGGGGCCCTTGGGTGGGCTTGGAGATGCCACTGTGGGAGTGTCTGTGACTCAGAAGAGCTGTCTGCAGGGCCTGGCCTGCCCTTGTGCGTGATTTCAGAGGGAACGTGTATATACTTTTGCAGCTCCCAAGAATTTAAGTAGAATGAAGTAGCCTTTTCTGTTTTACTGAATTTACTTGAACCAACAAATTCAAGAGTAGCATTTGTTATTCTCAGGAATGGCCTCCCAGTCATTTTCTTTCCTGGTGTGTCTGACTTATTTCCACTAGGAGATTGTGTTCTCTCTCTTTCCTTTTACACTACTTAGAAGAAATATAACATTGTATCTTTCCATTTTGGTGGAATTTTGTAGGCTCATCTAGGCTGAATCAGAAAGAAAAAAGAGAGAGAAAAATACACTGTCTAACAAGCCACATCCGTGATTTATTATTGTAAGGAGATTATTATAATTGATAGCTTCTTTATGATGGGATTGCTAGTATCATGTGTTCTTGCTGGTCTTTTTAAAGAAACACTCAAACTGTTAAGACAGCTGCAGTTTCTAAAGAACTACAGTGATTGCTAGAGAAGAGCTAAAAGGTTTCATTGTTTTAAGACCTTTAGCGAAGGGAGGAACCCCCAGAGAACAAAGGGGGGTGAGTGTGCCCCGCGCAGGCAGCCCCAGACCCCGGCTGGCTGTCTGCTGGAGAGAGAGAAAGAGCCCGTCCTCCCGGGACAGCGTCCTGCTGAGTCTGAGCGAGAGGGAGGGGTCTGCCCCGGGATTCTGTGATTGAGCTGCTCCCCAGACCCACTGCCTTCTGTGCGGCTTCGGCTTCTTCACCAAGAGTAGACATTCAGTTTTCTGGGGCCTATGTTTAAAACTACCATTTTTGTTTGTTTGTTTCCAGGTTCAATTCCATATCTTGTCCAGGTTACCTTAGTTGTTATAATGGCATATGGAGTTGGCGCTAATTTGAAATATCATTGGATGGTAATTTTTTTCTTAAGCTTTTTTAGCTTTGAGAGATACTAAAATAGAAACCCCAAACTGGTCTCTTACCGAAGGGAAAATAGCCAGGCTCCAAAAAAGCCCCACGCCGTGCTTTTTGGGCATTCTCTCCACCACGTGCTTTTCCTCCTGGGTGAGGAAGACTTCATTAAATTACTGTGGTTGCATGGGTACACTTCCTTCCTACCCTTCTTAAAGCACAGCCTCACAAAGGGACCTTTAAAGATGGACCACCCCGATGAAACGTCTGCCTCTCTGTGTCTCTGACGCTGAAGGCCAGCGAGAGAGCAACACCGTGCAGTCCAGGCGAGGCCTCTGGTGCCCGGAGCACCAGGCAGACACTCTGGTTTGTTTCCGCCGAGTCCGCCACGCCAGGGTTCCCGGGAGGCCGAGTTCTCTACCCCCTCAGTCCCGTGGGTGTAGTTAAGTGTGGTTGCCTTCCGCCCGCCCACCAAATCTGTTCAGTTCCCACACAGTCACCGCAGGGAGACAGCCCCTGCCCCCACATTTCCAAATTCCTTCACAGAAACAGGAAGACCCCTCAAGGATACCTTTTACTTTCACTGCGTAGAGGTGACCGCCTGAAATGGTGTGACTGAGGAAGAAAAGGCTCGTAAATACTGAAGTGTGCAAATCCAGTACTCCAGTTCCCGGGATGGTGACGGCCGGCAGCCCAGCGAGCAGCAGGAGCTCCACTGGGCCCAGACACCCAAACAATTTTTACCTCGAAGAGGCTGCTTGAGCTCAGAGACAGCTGTTCCATTTCTCCCTGTGCGGCCCAAGTGCGCACTGACTCTCGTCCCCTCGGGAACCCGCCGTCACCCTCTCCCTTCGTGACCAGCGCCTCCCACTCCCTCGGGGCCCCCCACCAAGGCCCGCCCTGGAGCTGCCTCCTTTGCGGGAGTCTGTTCCCGCTCGCTGTCCTGGCCCAACACTCCTTCCTGTCTCACAGCCCCCGTCTTGTTGACCAGCTGCATATTCCACTGACCAGCTATGTTATTTCTGCCCCTACCAGTGGAAATAACCCCTTTTTCATAAATGACCGCCTGCTCTTTTTCTAAAAATGTGAACTTAAGTCCCTTCTCTCTGGTCCTAAGGGCCTTGTCAGAAGAGGTCTTCCCATTGCACCCACAGCTCTGCCTTTGCCGTTGTCCTGCCGTCTTGGTTGCAAGAACCACCGGAGTGTTCTCCCCCGTGACTCTCGAAGGTTCTCAGGCAATAATTTTCCTTGTTGTTGGCGATCTCGTGCTCAGCGGCACTCTGTCGACTAGTCCTGGCCTCCACCGTGTGGGGTGTTTGTGTTCCTCTCTGAGTGTGATTTAAACCTGACGTCAGAGTGGTGGTGGATTTCGTCACCTCGTGGTTGTGAGTGTCAGTGAAGTCTCACCACTGCGTCCACTGGGGCTGCTCGAGGCCAGGTCCGTTCACAGCTGTACTGAGTCGGAGTTGTCTGTCACGGTTTCCCAGGCAAAGGCCGGGCCCACTGGCCAGCTCCAGCTGGTGGTGACCTTGTGGGGTGTCAGGTGTGAGTGGGGCGGGGAATTTACCATATAATACATTCCTTTGTGTGCACTCCGAATAGCAAGGGTGCTTACTCAGGACCTGGGGATGAGTCGTCAGCCATGTGCATTTGGCAAACTGAGCTGCATGCCCTGACGACCTGCTGTTGTTTGCCGATTTCCTCGTGTCTAATGCACATCACCTGGCAGGGCCCACGTTAGCCACCTGAAAGGTGTTCTGGGAGGCACCTGTGAATGGCCAAGACATCCTAGAGGGTGTCCTGGGGGGTGTGATGTCCAAGCGGAGGCCCTTTCCTCTGCACCGCAGTCTTGTTGAAAGGTGACCACCACTCACTCACAAGGAGAGATGTAATTACCACTCCTGGGAGAGCTACCATACCAAGGTGGTGGGAAAGGCTCTTTAATACACGAGGTCTCAGAGTCTGTTCACCGCACACGGAAAGGCTGTTCTTAGTTCCCCCGGCTCGTTGGCTGAAAGTGACAGGCCACTGCTCTTGCCATCCTAGAGGCCAAGGGCTGGTTCGGACGATCTCTGAGGGGCAACTTTGTTCATGTCTAGGCACATTCAAAAGCTAGGAGTTTATAACTTGGAAGTTTCCCTGTCAGCATCGTTGTTCTTCCTCAGTAGGAGTGAGAAATAGCAACACAGAGAAGGCAGATGGTCTGAGAGGTCCAGCTCCTATGACGTGGGTTTCTTTTGGTCACGGAGAGGGGAAGGAACAGAGGAGAGAGGGACCGTCGCTGCACCCAAGGATCTCGTAGGGTGCAGCCCCTTCGTAGGGGACAGCCCCTTCTCGTAGCCCCCCAAGGAGAGCGAGGGGGCCGCAGACACGTGGGGTTGCAGACGTGCAGGTCCCGGGCTCCTTTTCACCATTCTTCCTGTGACACGGGGCCAAGCAGTGAGCGAACCAACCTAGTAGCTGCCATTGGAGCAAAAGCTGCCCGGCACCCTCCCCCCCGACAGTTTCCCACCCAGACCTCACACCCTCCTCACGCTGGCCAGCCCCTGGGGACACGGGAGGCTCTGCTGCCGGGCGCTTTGCCTGCCCCTCCTGCCGTCTGTTTTATTTGGGAAGTTTTCAAATCTATTGCCCCTCTGCTTGTCCCCTCTGGTCCACTGAGACAGCAGCTGAGTGCACTGTCACCAGGCTGCCACTTGCTGAGCAGAGCAGGGCGTGTGCACAGCTCCGCCCTCACTTCACTCATCTCGGGATGCCGGCTGCGGTTCACTTTTTGTCTCTAAAAAAGTGACTCTATACGGCCCCAGTTGACGCTTACACTCGCGTTGGTGTGCGGTGATCGAGCACAGGTCTGCCTGAGCCCTTGCAAATTGTAACCATGGTGACTGAGGGGTGGCACAGAGTGAGTATATAAAAATACGACGACAATTGTTCTGAATGACTGAGTGTACTCCTGACACGTAATTAGCTGTTTTAGCGAGACGCAGATTGGCATGGCCATAATTAAAGGGGTTTCTGTCCTTTATATGACTGAAAATGGCAGCTCTCCCATCCCCTGCTCCTTTTAGCACAAATGTTCCCCAGAACCTTTGGAGCAGCAGCTCAGCAGACGACAATGATGTGGCGATTGTGTCCCCTCCCAGACGGGAGAGACAGACAGGGTTGCAGTGAGCTCAGCTGCAGAGTGGGAGCCTCCCGTCCCTGCGCCCCCCGACTTCTGAAGTGTGGGGACCTGTCCCGCATCCTTCTCAGCCTGCTCCCCCTGCAGCAGCAGCGGGGCCTCCCGGCCGTGCTGCCCCACTTGCTAGCCAGCTGGTGTGTTGCCTTGGTCTGACTTACGGCCATTTACTGCTTCACAAGCGCCTAGAGTGTGACATTTCCCTTGGTTACATCTCCATTGCCATTACCACCAGGAAGTACTTATCAAAGGTGTTTGCTCACGGCTTAAGTAGGGATTTCCTCATTGGACCGTGTGACACACACAGACTGACACACGGGCCTTCGACAACTAGGAGGTATGAATGGAACCCTGATGTTTGCAGTGTCTGAAAGTTACTGGAGCAAGAGGATGTGTGTGTGTGTTCCACCCAGATGTCCCCACGCTGCGGCGCTGTCTGAGGGGTGGCCCACCCAGCCCCTCCAGATCCTCACCCCCCCACCGCCTCCCTCCCTCTTCCATCCACTCAGCCCCCTTCAGCAGCATGTGGTCTCGGCCCCCTAAGAGGCCTCGCCCTTCCCCGGGACACGCTGCACTGGCTCCTTGCCGTCACTCGCAGGCGTCTTTGTGCCGGTGTGAGGTCAGGAGAGAGTCTGCACAGACACTGGGACACGGCGCGATGCCTGCTTCCCCAGGGAGCCCTGTGTCCAGGAATGGTTAGGGACGACTGGAGGAAATCCAGCGCCTGCTGTTTGTTCATCTTTTGCTGCTCATTCTCATAGAGATCGTTGCTCCTCCGCACTTGCCAGAAGGAACCTAACCCAGATGCCAGCTAAGCTTCAGTTTCATGGGAAAAAAATGCTGCAGTGGTTGCTCCCCCCACCCTAAAACACAGAATTTGGGGAAAAGTTTTGCTTTGGGTTTTGTTTGTTCCCCTTGAAATTCCTATAGTTGAGCTAGATCAGGAAAAATAAGGACATGAAAGGTTTTTACTCATTGCTTCTCTCCCTGTAAGATCTAAAGGTGACTGCCAGCCCCTCACTCCACATGCAGTACATGGGGGGGGGGGTCACAGAAACTTTTCAGGGGGATCCTGTCTGTTGACCGTAGGAAAGGTGATAGATTTATGACCCCAAAGAGCATCCCATCCTTATTTCCCCAGCTGGTGAAAGATAACGCACTCTAACAACAGAAAATCTGCCTTG